GCATCTTGTGACGAATAGGAATTTCAAACGAAACAGACTCAGATGAGCCGGGTGTTGCTGCAATAGTGAGGGGAGGAGAAAGAAGAGGATTTGTTTGGTGAGGGTTTGTTATTGAAACGTTAGAGAACGCAGGAATTTTTGCACCAGCACGAGAAGTAGATACTGATGGTTTTTTTACAGGAGTCCTACAAATTTTACTTAATATTAACACAAATGTAAAGAATGATAAAAATGATAATTACGACAACCTACGTTTTTGTGGTACTGCTAGATACTGGTGGAGCACCGGTGATGGAATTGAATTTCGCAAAATTATACATCTCATACTCAAATGCCTCCACTTTAACTTCTTTCACACCTGTCTTGTCTAATGATTCAAAAAATGCCTCGACCTTCACCACCCCACGAGGTTCTGTTGATGGAGTACTATCCACACATTCATCATCTTCAACAGCCAAATACTTGGACACATACACTTTGTATTTCAGCAGTCCTTCACGTTCATCTTCGTACAACGCTTTCTCGTTGACATCTATTTTTCCTTCTTGTATTTTCTTTCGTAAAATAACGTCTTTAGTCACTTTATAAATTGCATGAGGATTCGCCTTTGTTAATTCCGCCGTTAAGACGTAACGCACGGCAGCATGCTTCCCTTCTATACTGCCGGGAAGATATTTGGGAGCCTTAATGGTGATCGCAAAAGGAAGCGAATTTTCACCGGCATTTAAAGTTTTGGTAATATTAACTACTGTAACTTTTTGTTTAATTAAATCTTTTGTAGTCAAATTTCGAGTGGCAGCCTTCTGGGAATTATCAATTTGCGAAAATCCGTGAAGTTTGACAACTACTTGGGTAACTTTCAATGCAGATGTAAGAAAAAGGTTGATGTCTCCTTTAATGGTTAAAGATGCGTTTGCAGCTGTTGGAATATAAAGACTCGGTGATGTAAGAGCGATTTCACATGATTTGATTTCTTTAATGCCTGCCATTTTATATTTTCGGTTGTTCACAATCTCATAAGAAGTAATCAAATGTAATTATGTCGAAATAGTAATAATTTTTATATTAGGTTGTCGGAAGAAGAAAGAGAGGTAAGAGTTGTGATACATATTTTTTATCTATTTATACGATAAGTTACTGAATATAGTTTCAGCATTTAATTTTTCTTTGTTCCCTTAGCCAACTATATTGGGAAGAAAATCTAGTAAAATGATAGGTTCATTAAGTGAAAAAATCCCGAAGTGATTGATATGCAACAGGCGGGCAGCTGAATTAAAATTGCGCCACCCGACATATTAGGGCACTGCTTCTTCTACAGAGTGACTTGAAAGAAGGGATCACCTCCTTTTTCACATGTTTTATTGTGAAACTTTTTATCCGGAACTACTATTGGTTGATAGCGAAATCCTGTTCAATCAGAATGAATATTATTTTGCGATCAAAAGTATTGGTTAGTGCGTCAACCATTTTTACCATTTTGGGGGAGGGATATTAAGAATTATAGGTTTATAGGTAAAAACTTCAAATGTACCCTCAGAAGGAAGAGTAAGCATTTTTATTATAGGAACTCTCGAATTTATAGAATTTAAATTACAATTATTTTTTTAAAATATATAAAATAAAGTATTATTTTAAGTAATATATATTTATTTTATATTGAAAGTATTTAATATATTGAAATATTTCTTAATTTTTAATTAAAATATTTTTAAATAATAACAATATCTATTTAATAGTAATAAAATTAAAACAATTTAATATTAAATAAAATATTTTAAAAATAATATTTTTAAATAATTCTAATTAGAATTTTATGATACTTTAATAACAATAAAAAGAATTTTTTTAAAATAATAATAATAATTTCAATTAAATTATATAATATATATAGTATAAGTTTTTAAAAATTTTTTTGTTTAATATTGAATAAAATAGTTTGATTTAATTTAATTTTTTTTATAAGTATTAAATATAAGATTTTATTAAATCTTTATTATTTATTATTATATTAAATTTTTTTATATAAGTAAATTAATTCTAATTTATTAAAAATTTAAATTTATATAAACAACAAAACAAATAAATAATAACTAACAATTACTTATATTATAAACTAATATATATACTTATTAAAAATAATAATAATAATTGATAATTATAATTAGAGAAATTAAACTTTATATATATTGAATCTGGAAATTGATTTGTTATTATAATATAATTTATGAATATAAAAGTTTTTTTTTAATATAAAATATTATTTTATATTAATTTTTTATTTAATATATTATTTATTATTAAAAATTTTGAAAAATATATTTTGAAATATTTAAAATAAATATATAATTTTTATATATTATTTTAATTAATTTTAATTTTAATTTTTTGTAACAATATTAATAACAAAATAAATAATACAATATATATTATACAAATAATATAAACAAATCAATAAAAAAAAAAAACTTTTTATGTAGCAAGAGCAACTAAAGATTTCAAGATTCACATATGTCCAACAGAATGTACGTTTCATTGGGACAATGCAGAGAACTCAATTGGCTTCCTATTCACAGGTTTACAACCCCAATCCAAAAAAACAACAATAAATATAACAAACGCACTCAACCTAAAGTTTACTAATCAGTTATTGAAATTTAGCAGCATCATCAAACTTACATGGCATCAACTTGCCTCACATATAGGCATAATTTGTCATGGCCCAGAACCAAATTGGTTCAAAACCTTTGCAAATAGTGAGAATTTCATAGGATCTCATGGTCCAATACCAAATCCCAAAGCAACATTTTGGTTTATACATGGCTCAAATACAATAGTTAAGATTCACAAGAGATGATCATTAGTGCAAGAAGGAATGATACTCAAAGGGAAGCATTTTATAATAGATCCAACTAACAACCTTCTCAGGTGTCTAGAATGTCCAGCCGGTACACAATCACATGGCTTTTGCTGAATAATGTTCACAAGCTCAACAGCATCAACCTTATGGATATCTCTCAACCCATTTAGCATCAATAAGTATCGATTATTAAATATTATTGATGAAACTATCAACTCACTATGCAGAAATGAACAAATTCTCCAATCAATCAACATCAACAACAACCCATCCCCCGGAGCATCACTTCAAGAAGTGGGGCATCACCAACACTATCATATTCAATCTTATAAAAATTATTTAGTTATCAACGAGTACAAGATAGAACTTTCTAATATTTGCTTAGCTCCTGGAAGTATCCTACTAGTGATACTCGACAATACTCAATGGAGCTCCCAGTGCAACACCATTGAAATCAGAAATAATAAAAAAATCCTTTAACCAGTAACAATTCATCCGAGAAGAATGGTCAAAATTAACTTTTCTCCTCTAATCCAGCAAATAAACCAAGTCCTGAAACAGAAGTCAATAGAAG